GCGGATGCCCGCCGCTAGAGTTTCGGCGATTCATTTAGGGAGGGCGGAGCCCTCGCTCCCGCGAGAGGTTGTGATGTGGATGCTGCAGGTATCGGATCCCCCTTTCAGTATGCGGCGCGTGAGAGCGAATTGGGGACGGATCGCGGCTGCGGCTGCGTGGATTGGCCATGGATTGCAATGGATGTCGCAGATCCGGGAATGGCGAAATCCTACGGCGACGATAATGGCGCACGTTGCAGCTTTGCTTCTGGTTTGGTTCCCAGATCTGATCGTGCCGGCGGTGGCGGCACATTTAGGATTGGTCGGAATATGGCGTTACCGGCGACGACCAAAGGTGCCTTTGGCGGCCGCAGCAGTAAGGGAATCGGAGGCGGCTGAGAGGGAAGATCTGGACGAGGAATTCGACGCTGTGCCAAGCGCGAAAGGAGAGGAGATAGTGAGGGCGAGGTATGAGAGGATGAGAGCAGTGGGAGTGAGGTTGCAGGCAATGATTGGGGATGCGGCAGCGCAAGCGGAGAGGGTTCAGGCGATGGTGTCGTGGGAGGATCCGCGGGCCACGGCTGTGTTTGTGGTGGGTTGTTTCGTGCTGGCAGTGGTGATGTATGTGGTGCCGGCAAGAAAGGGGGTGGTGGCCCCGGGGGTTTTTTTCATGGTGTCGTGGGAGGATCCGCGGGCCACGGCTGTGTTTGTGGTGGGTTGTTTCGTGCTGGCAGTGGTGATGTATGTGGTGCCGGCAAGAATGGTGGTGGTGGCCGCGGTGTTTTATTACATGCGGCACCCGGTGCTCCGGGGAAGGAGGCCACCAGCGGGGGTTAATTTCTTCAGGAGGTTGCCGTCTCGGGCTGATCGGATAATTTAGGTCATGGGATAATTTATGGTTTATTTGATTTTTTATTATAATTTATTTTTGAATTTAAATTGTTGGCGGTAGATTAATTTGAAACGCTATGATTTCCTCGGTTTAGCATTTTTAAAAGGGGGGACTTTGCATATTTATCACTTTGAAATTTATGTATTTTTGTTGAATAATAATTTATTTTTATTTAAAACAATAGGATTACTTTATATTTTATTATATATTATCTATTTGAATATTTTGTTGCATGCATTTATTTTTATTGTATTAAAAATAAATAAAAACAGCTGGACATAATTGATTAAAACAAATAAAAAGCTTTTTAGTTTTTATTCTAAAATATAACGCTTTTAAACTTTTAATGTACAAGTAATCAATTTAAATAATATTTTAAATTTTAAAGTTAAATTTATCTTAACATTAAACATTATACAAAATAATTAGTATTTTTTCTGTTTAATAAACTAAACAATATATATATATATATATTCATCAATGTTCTCTATTTAATTTTATCTATTTTTTTTATAATTTATATTAAGAAGATTTACATGCATGCCACTTAATTCATAAGTATTTACTAGTCCAACATTCGAACTTCAATTTTCTACATACATACATACATATATATAGCCGAAATGGTAGAATCACGTTGATTTTCATAAAAAAGCTATTAGGCACAACAATATCATTAATAACTTGATCGGTATAAGTTAAAAATATCTTAAATTAAGTAAATGTTTTTATTTATATTAATGACAAATGCATAACCAAATTTTTAATGATGCAAATTAACATAATTACCAAAAGCTAGATTGTCAATAGAAAACAAACAACACCCGTAAAATGCATGATAAATTTTTAAGAACCCATCTGTGTAGTGTACAGAAATATGGCTTATTGATTTTCCGCCGCTCTTCCTATTTCACATATTCTCCTTCTTCCCTTCTGTTTGCTGCATGTTCTCTATTTCTTCTTAGTATTAAAAGCAGAAAGGCTTCACAGCGTCAGTCTCAAAATCCAGAAAAATTATTACAGACACCGTCCATCACCTCATGCAGAAGTGCATGTGATGTCCGATCTGCACCGTTCATCACAACAAAGATGTACGACGATGGCTCCTATTTTGAATTTTTTTAAAAAAATTTGCTGTGATGGACGGTTGACCGTATAGAATAATTTTTCCAAAATCCATGGAAGAATCCAGCACATCAAAATTAGAACAAAGGAATGGCATCTCTGAATATAACAGACAAGCCAATCCCTCCCTTGCTCTATCAAGTTTTTGATTTCTAATATTCGAGCCATTGCAATACTTCCCTACCTATCAAAAATTATCCGCCGTGGAGATCTCAGATGATGAAGATCATCAAGGTCGACGGGTTCTTTGGCTTCTTGGACGGATTTATCATCCGCCCACCCAGCACCCTACCCAATTCTGAAGGAATGGCTCATCCAAATCCTGCATTCACTATCTGGACACTCATAGACCAATATCTTGCTGCTGCAATTCTTTCAACCATCTCCAACACAGTTCTCCCTTATCTCATGCATCTTAAAACATGTATGTAAAAGTAACAGTTTACAAGTAAAGATAATAGTTTACAAGTGCAAATCACCTAGTTTGATCACCCTCTTATAAGGATAGGAGTCAACAAGATTTATATGTTTAGAAGCTTAAACTAACTCCCCGATTAATGACCGCATTGATCCAGGATTCCAGCAGGAGGGTTTAATATTTAAAATCAAGTTTTTCCAAAATAACCAACTAAATATGTAAAGCAAAATTAATCACTTAAAAGCTAAAAGCAAAATTCATCTGCTCTCCGTAATAACTTGTCGAGGGTAACAAACTTTTAATTGACTTCAGCTCACGAAGAGCGAATGTCATATCAAATGTATCAATATATTCACAATCAAAGTCATTGCATGCTAGTAATGATGTGGCCTGAATCCTCCATCCGAGTGGTTCTCCCACCAAATGACACATCAAAGTAGTGATTACGACCAGAATCCTCTGAACAGGTGGTTGTCGTTAAATGACATCATTATATTACTGTCATAGTCGTAGCCCGTATGTTCCTCAATTGCTTTCTACCCTTTGAGTTGTGAGTCATACGGGAACAAATGATTGGCATAAATTCTTCTATTAGCTAAGGTCGGCATAAATTTATCCCCTTAAACAAACATCCGCCCCATATCTATAAAAATCTCTTAGACGACACAACTCATGGTTGCTGACAAGAATACTTATGTCAGGTTAGGTCGACTACCTCCTTTGACTAAGTAGGTAAGGGACCACGACGCCCCAAGATGACAAAAGCATGGGATCTTAATCAGGTTTCGTCTTCATTCCCCCATCATCCGCTTTAAGCTCTAAGTGGTAACTTTTATAATTTAAACCCTAAGTCTACTGCTATTGTATGTTCAATTTTCAATTCTTAATGATTAGCTTTAATCGAAAGTGCTCTGTTGTTATCAAAATGGGTAATTAATCTTAGGGTCTTGCGCCCATGGGAAACCTCCAACCTTAGATCAAAAAGTCCTCGCTAAATGAGGGTGAAATCTCTGGGTAATGTCTTATCTGCAATTCAATTTGCCTTCTAAAAATTCGACCCTTCAAAAGCTCTCAGCAAATCAAAACTAAAATAATGCAGAGAGTGTCCTGGGGAGCGTCGTCAAATTTTCAGAGCCCACACAATTGCCCCTACAACAATGGATGTCATATGGCCCAGGAGATTAGTACAAGAGTTTCAAGTAGATACTCAACAACCTATTACTATCTATTGTGATAATATATCTATTATGACTCTTGTTAAAAATAGTCTTTCACGCAAGAAAAAAACACATAGAGATTGATTATCACTTTATAAGAGAATGCATTCAATCAAAGGAAATCAATGTTACTCACATTCCCACCACCGATCAACCTTCTAACACTTCGGCTTATTATGCTGCGAAACAAGCTGACACTACCTATCAATGCTATCTGCTTGAGAGGGACTGTTAACAGTGCTCAAAATATTCAAGAAAGTACTTAGCTTAGATTCCTATTCTTGATGACCTATGTAAACTGTTGGGCCTATATAAGAACCCACTTGTGCAGTGTATTGTAACGTTCTCTTTTCCTGAGTGTTCTCTGTTTATTTTAACTATATATATATATATATTTAAAATACACTTTTTCATGCGTAGGTAAAATGAGTAAAAATTAAGTTTGTGATAGATATGTAAATACATAAGAATCAAGTGATATTTATGTAAATCTTTCATAATAATAATAATAATAATTGATAACTGGTCAGGAGATGAAAATAAACATGTAATTAAAATAATATTGATACTACAGCAGCACTCAATGACAAAGACAGAAAACAAATAAATTATATCAATATGATTTGGCAAAAATTGCATCAGCAGGATTACCGGTCATAAAACAGATTTTTGAGCCAACAGGTTGATCAAATGGGAAGCATCTTAACGTTGCTCCAGTTTCTTCTTTCACCTTCTGCTCCTCAACGTCGCTGGGAATCATCAACCAAGCATAAACTGCACTGTTAGTTATACACTGCCGGAGATAATGTTCATCTCAATCATGAAATATTTCAACAGCAGGATCTAAGTTTTTCACAATAAGTAATCAACGGTCTTCTGCTGGGCATTTTAATTAAAAGAAAAATCAATAGCAGGGTAGTATGTTCTGATGTTTATTTGGGATGGATGTAACCATCTATAAAAATAGTTAGGGTATTTACATATATGCCACTCAATTCCCATGCAATTGACATATTTAAGAGCTAAACTCTACATTTTACATTTATATCACGCATATTGAAGCTAAACATTTATTGAGAGGTTTGATGGAGAAGTATAGGTATAGAGAGAGTATAGAGAGAGTAAGGAGGATCTACGTATGATTTTTATTGATTTAGAAAAAGCTTACGATAAGCTTCCAAAAGAAGTCTTTTGAAGAGTTCTAGAGCAGAAAGATGTTGATTTGACTTATATTCAAGTCATTAAAGATATGTATACTAAAGTTGTTATTTGTGTTCGAATAGAAAGAGGATTGAACAAGTATTTTTCTATTTCAGTTGAATTACCATCAAGGATCGGCTTTAAACCCATATCTTTTTGCTTTAGTTATGGAATCCCTTTTTGTACATTTACAGGAGAATGTACATTGGTGTATGTTTTTTGCTGATGATATCCTTCTTTTGGATAAGATTAGAGAAAGAGTTCAAAAAAAAACTTGAATTATTGAATTATGGAGGCCTATTATGGAGGCCTATATTGGAGTCTAAAGGCTTTCATTTGAGTAGATCTAAAACTGAATACATGGAATGTAATTTTAGTAGTAGTAGCTCTAGCAATAGAGTTGTAATTATGGGTGATCAAATCATTAAAATGTATGAACGTTTTAGATATCTTGGATCTATTGTTCAAAGTGATGGTGATATAGATTGAGATGTTACTAGTACAATTCAAGTTGTTTGGTGTTGGTTTAAGTGGAGGAATGCTTTGGGCCTATTGCAGGCCTCTTGCATGATAGAAAAGTACTGCTTAGACTGAAAGGAAAATTTTATAAGATGATGGTGAGACCTGTAATGCTTTATGACAAAGAATATCGACCTTTAAAAGAGAAGCATAAAATAAAGTTAAGTATTGCAGAGATGAGAATGCTTAGGGGGATAAGTGGCTTGACACTTACAAGACAAAATGAGAAATGAATATATCCTTGATAAGGTTGGTGTAGCCAAGTGGCGGATAAGATTAGAGAGAGTCGTCTTAGATGGTTTGGTCACATTAAATGTCGATCATTAGACGATCATGTTAGGAGAGTAGATGCTTTAGATTTTACTTAAGTTAAAAAAGGAAGAGGTAGACCTAAAAAGACTTTAGCATATTGTATAAAAAATGATCTTAATCTATTAGAATTAAATGAAAACAAGACACTCAATAAGACAGAATGGAGAAAAAGAATTCATGTAGCCAATCCCACTTAGTAGGATAAAAGCTTCTTCTTGTTGTTGTTGTTGCTGTAGAAAAAAAGGGGAAAAACAAAACTCATGTAGAAAAAAAAACATGTTTTTTAAAAGTCACAGTAAGTGATGTGGGTATAATGGATTTTTTTAAGACAATAGACTTACTTTCTCATAACTAATATGCTCTAATAGACTGATCATGAAAAGATACTTCTCGTCAAAAAAATTTCTAGAAAATAGATAAAAAGTTGTAGTCAAATAGAAGTGTGTTTGTATTATGTAGTATTATGTAGTCACCGACTATTTATATGAGATCGTTTTAATCCCAAAGTTTATAACAGTGTCAAACTAGTCTCAGACTCTTTAAATTGGGGTTGAAATTGTCCCATAAAGGACTAATAGAGCTCAATTTGGGAATATTTTGGCACTTTTAAAAACTCTGGGACTATAACAGCCCAAGTAAATAGTCGTGGACTATTTTAACACTTTACACATACAATAGAACTGTGAAAAAATAGTCTTCACAGGCCTTTGGGTCGGCCCAAGTTACCTCTATCACAGAGCCCTATATTATTTATTTATTTATTTATTATACAAAACATGGATTATAATTCTTACCTTGCCGACCAAGGACCCCTTGCCCATTTTCCTTGGGAAATTGCTTCCTTCAACTCTTCATAAGATCTCACATCCACTATATTTCTGTCAAAAATCATTATGCTTTCAGAAAAAACAAAATTCAATTTTACAAACATAAAGAGCATTTGAGAAATCAAAATCATTTTCTTGATTAAGATAAGTTGGGCAATGAGCTGATTTTTCCCCAACAGAGAGTTTCTCATTTGTTTTGGGTGTTTTCTGATACTACTAAAGAGAAGATCAACAAAAACTTGCAGTAAAACAAAAGAATTATGCAAATGATTATGATATCGATCTTTAAAACAAGGAAAATATACATTTATAACATTTCAACCATAGATTCATAATCATAGATAAGTGGAAACAAAAAAAGGCATTGAGTACAAGCACTAAAACTAGATGGAACCTAACAGAGCCCTATTCAAACCATATTAGAAGACATTTGTAAAGAAAATTTCAAGCATATTAGCATACACATTATCGTTCCAGGTAGAAATTACTTCAGAAGCTTGAATGTTAAGAAAATTTAGGGAAAATTACATATGTAGCATAAAATTCTCATGTAGTTACATATCTCACACCTAAACTTTGATATTTACAGACGGCACTTTGGTGCTCTAAACTTACGCATGAAATGGTGTATTTTACTTTTAAGAAGTGGTAATAGTGCTATTTTTTTTATGTGATATTAAATTTTTGATGAGATGTGAAAGATTTGAGTGTTATGTATGTAAATATGAAAGTTTAAGTGTCAGATATGTAAATACATAAGAACTGTGTACTATGTATGTAAATGCCCCACAAAATTTAAGTTTAAATAAAGAACAAAAGCGGAATTTTAACCTGTCACGAAACAGTGTGGCGCTTCGAAGAAGTGATGCTTGAACATCTTCCAACCTGCTCTTCACATGGTTTATCAACATTGAAGGCTCCATACATATCCCGAAATCCTTACCGAGTTTTCCGGGCACATCTCTCCGACTTACCACCACACTACCATCGGCAACTTCACGAGGACCAATTTCAATCCTCACGGGAACACCCTGAATAAAGGTTATTAGTTATCAGTACCTAAATTTGCATAAGGACTAAGAAAAAAATATGTATAAATTTTGGATAATTTATATAGATACCAACTCAATTCCAATGTATTTACATATTCAACTCCTAAACTTCAGTTTCTACATTCACGCCCCTTAACCTATGCATAAAAAGTGTATTTCATTTTTTAATCGTTAAAATGGTGGTATTTTTTATGTGATATGAAAGTTGAGTGCTATAAACGTAAAAATTTGAAGTATGCGTTGGATATGTAAATACATAGGAATTAGATGGTATGTATGTATGTCCCATAAATTTTTAAGTATGGAAGTTTCATTAGCTGCAAAAAATATATCAAGCAAGTATTAGGAACATAATGCATTAAATAAGCACTACCCAGTATCCCCATTAATGGAGCATACCACCAACGGATGGATACAAGCTCAAGGGAGATTTTCTTCTGTCAATAAACCAATATCCTCACTTCTAAATTAAACATATGTAGCACACAATTCTTATGTATTCACATCTCTCACACCTAAACTTTGATATTTACATACTTACCACTTTGGTGCTCTAAACTTATGCATGAAAAGGTGTATTTCATTTTTAGAAAGTGGTAATAATGCTATCTTTGATGTTATATTAAAGAATTGAGTGCTATGTGTATAAATATGAAAGTTTACATGTGAGAAATGTAAAAACACCTAAACTTCAGTTTTACATAAATGCCACCATACTTTAGCATAAAAAGGTGTATTTGACTTTTAATAGTTAAAATGGTGGTATTTTTTATGTTATATGAAAGATTTTAGTGGTATAAATGTAAAAATTGAAGTATAGGTGTTAGATATGTAAATACATAGGAATTAGGTGGTATGTAGGTAAATGCCCCGTAAATTTTTGGGTAGGGAAGTTGCATTAACTGCAAAATATATATTAAGCAAGCATTAGGAACAGAATACGTCAAATAAGCACTATTGCTGCGCATCCTCATTAATGGAGCTACCATCAAGATGGATACAGACCAAGCTTGAGATTTTCTGCTGTCAATGAGCCAATACTCACTTTTAAAATAAATACACAGCCAAAGATTGGTAAGAGAGCCGATTTAATTCTTACTTTTAATTCCCAAAAATTAAATTTCCATCCCGGAGTCCTCTGTTCTGAGCCATCAATTTTGACTCTGATATCTGCTGATTTCAGGGTTTGTTCGACAGTCACAGCAGTACTAAGAACTCCAATTTTCTCGTCATCTTTCTTCCAAATTGGTACTATTACAACCTGAATTGCATGCATTAACAGAAATAAAGTTCAGTATATTAAAAGGAGCAAAGTGTCAAGATAGTCCCTTGACGATTTACATGAGGCTATTTTAGTCTCAGAGCTCATATAAGTGTCAAATTAGTCTCCAATTTCTTCAAACAACTTCACAAAACCATGCAAGATATAAGATAAGATCTCATCGAAGGCTATCTCCTTCTGTCATCTTACCAAAGATTTGAGAAGACAAACAAGCCCTAGTATTGAAAGGATTCATTGCATTAATCTTGTAAAATTGATAATATTTTATGTAAAATTGACCTAAATTTCTTGTCAAAGCTTCCAAAATTTTCTTATCCAAGGTTTTCTAAAGTGTTGTAGATTTCTATCCAAGAAATGGATATGGTATGAATCACTAAAAAGCATGAAGTGGTTGGCTAGGCCAATAATGAGAATTTCAATAAGAGGCTACCATACACTGTCATGATTCGAATGCTCTTTCTGAAGAGATTTGATTCAAAACTAGTATATCTCAGAGGTTCAATATTTGGAAATTTTTATAGGTTTCGCCTGTGTCAATAAACAATCTGAAATATCTCTAGAGTTTTAGAAAAGGTCCAATTGAAGCAACTTCCATCACAGCTCAGAAGATCAATTTAAATAGATGGAGAAATGTTTTCCAAACAACCTCATATATAATAATGTCATTGCAAATCCTCCAATGCAATAGAAAATTATATAAATGCGAGGATGAAGTTGAAACTCTCTTATTCAACAACAACAACGACAACAAGCCTTTATCCGACTAATTGGGGTCCAGTGACTCCTTGCAAGAGGCCATTTTAATCCCAAAGTTTATGAAACTGGTAATATAGTCCCCAGTTTTTTTTTAATATGGGTTGAAATAGTTCCAATGAGGACTATTTTAGCCCCAGTTAAAATAGTATTAGGACTAATTTAACGCTTTTATAAACTCTGATTAAAATGATCCCATATAAATAGTAAGGGGACAATTTTGGCACTTTACACCTCATTAATGATAAGCCGAAATCTGAAAAAATAATAATAATAATAAATATTCATAATATTTTAAACTTAGAAACAGCCAGTAGATATACCACAATATGCAAAACCTTATATTATGGAAAATTACAGGATGGTTCAACAGCATTCTTTCAACTGAAAATAAAATCTGATGGAGGCCCGGCTAACAAATGCAAACGTAAGCACGATAAGAAGAAAGGGATTTACCTGTACCGGAGCAAGCCTGGGAGGAAGCATTAAGCCAGCATCATCCCCATGAGTCAAGATAATACCACCAATAAAGCGAGTACTAATAGCCCAAGAAGTTTGCCAAACATGTTGCCTCTGTCCATTTTCATCTGTGAACTGACAGATTTGTTGAGAGATATATCAGTGTGCATGCAAAAAAATGCAATTATTATTTTGAAGATTGACATGCATGCCACTCAATTCTTATGTAATTACATATATAACACCTAGAATTTAATTTTTACATACGCGTCACCCTGAATATGCATGAAAATGTGTATTTCACTTAAAATAGTGGTACTTTTGATGTGATATGAAAACTTTGGGTGATAAAAATGTAAAAGAGAAAATTTTAGGTGTTAGATATGTAAAGAATAGGAATTGGGTGGTATGTATGTAAATGCTCTTTTTTAATTTAGGCAACTGACACTGCAGGTCAACTTTCGCTCTTTCAAATAAACGGTTTCTATAGAAAGATACAAAATAAAAATCAAACATGAACCACTCTAGAATACCTCCCGTTAAGCATATTCTCATACACAGTTTCCCACCTCTTGTACCTATAAACTTACATTTAATAGATAGTTATAGGTAATTGATTAACTAACGCTAGCATTAGCGTCAATCATTAAAAAAAGAGAGTAAGATGGTGCCCTTTGTATAGAACTTATGTGAAATCACACATGAAACAGACCTTCAAATTTAAGACTGTTCAGAATTTCTGTGAAATCACACATGAAACCGACCTATTGATAATAACAAAATCATTAACCAAGTTTTCAATCCCAATTTCAATTTTAGCCCAATCATAAAAGTTTATTTTTTATGGTTTCCATAGCTATTGATGTACTTTTGGTAATTAGCTTTATGGTTCAAATTGGGTATCACACTCAATAACTAAATTAATGTTAAAACACAAAAAGTATATATTTATAATTTAATATTTTCAAAATGACTTCTGCATAAATTTTTAATTTAAATATATTTTAAGAATAAACAAAGAAATTAATACAATTGTATCAAATGTTAAAAATTAACATTTCAATATTTAAAATATTTAAAAATTTTGGGAGCTTTAAATCAGCATGATTAGTAATTACTAAGTGTATATTCAGATATTAGCAATTTAGCCTTTTAAGTTTGAACTTTAAAAAAATATTCATGTGAGTATATTAGAAATTGGCTTGCAATAAGCCATTTAGTTTGCTGAAAAATGAAAACAAAGTCAAATGACTGTAATGTAAAATACATGTGGTATAAAACAAATGCACAATATTACATTTTTTGTGTTTGATTTGAAATAAAACGATTCCCATGTAAAGCCTGATGGTGAAATTTGACAGTGGGGCAGCAGCTACAACCTGCAACAACAGTGGCATAGTCAGCAATGACTGACTGAAGACAGCTAGTAGCGGTGGTGTCTGGTGATATTTGTCATCAATAGTGGAAGTGGCAGGCTACCATAGGCGGTGGGGGTGCGGGTGGCCAGTAATAGTGGACACTGAATGCGGTGGTTGAGGTGGTCGGCAGCTACAATGGGCAACAGCGGGTCGCAGTATATTTAGAAGTTAGCAAAATTAGCAGATTTTGAAATATACCAAAAATTGTCTAAGGGTGAGTTTCAATCTGCTCAAAATTTTACTTGTGTTTATGTTCTATTAAACTAAAAACCTGCATTCATAAAAGCCCTGTATTTACACCCAAAATCTTCAAAACCAAATAAACCATAAATGTAAAATTTCCTACGGACTAGTCTCGAATAGGCTCGAATCTTAGAGTTTGTTCCTTGTCCATCCATTTAGGTATATTGGTTGTTTCTAAGTTGCAATATCAGCATATAGCTATGAGGGCACAGCTTAAACATTGAAATGACAAAGTTTTGAATCTCAATGATACCGGAGTTAACCCAAATCACGACGCAAAATGACGAATTTTATTATTGAATTAGACGAGGATACAATGAACTTAAAAGAAAGTAAAATAACCACACAAAGCAAAAGTGCAGAAAGAATTGTACACAAACGACACAAAAACGAAGACATAAACTAACGCGGGAGCTTTCCCGGATGTAGGTGTGACTATAGACTGTAGCAGCTACAGTAACTGTGGTCCAACCCCTCTCCCCATTTTTATTACATTTTCTCTCCTAATATTGCTTTCTTTATCCATGAAATCCCCTATCATAAATCCTTGTCTATTATAATACTTCTTTTTATTCTATTTCCAAATTGAAAGCATTGCCTAAGGATTGCTTTTTCTTAGAAAAGAAGATTTTTTATGATTGTTGATTTCGATTACTGCCCTTGAGGCATTTTTCCCCTCCAGGGGCTGTACCCGACGGCGAAAAAGTGCTTCGTCTATAAGTCGTCTGAGGTGGTGACCGTCTTCAAGGCTTCAGGTGGTGTTTCAGCTGTAGCTCGACCCTGACAAAACATTTTATCTTTCCACAACCATCTGATCCCCTTCCTGATGTTGGTCACCCCGTCCTATCACCTGTCAGCTTGTTGCCCTCGTTGTCAAACTCCCTCTAGCCCTTCCAGAACCTGTCATAAGCCCTCCCAACCCATCCAGACCTGACCGCAACCCTCTCAAGCCTTCCCCCATCCTGCTGTAGCCGTTTCCTGCTCTTTCCAACGCCGCAGCAGCCCGTCCCCAGCAGCACAGCAGCTGTCGCAACCCCTCCATCAGATCTACCTGCTATTGTAACCCTTATTAGAGTCTATGTTGTGTATTTATGTTTGTGTTGTTGTTTTGTTGTTGTTATTTTATATTTTCAAGCATGGTATCTGTAATCCTTTCAATTTTAGAAATTATTTGTTTTTCATTGTGATTTTAGTTTCCTCCAGTATCATTTGGTATCAAAGCTAGCCCAACCCTAGTCCTATGCTAAGATCTCTAGCATTCGCCCCTACTCAAGCCACCCTCACCAAAATTTTCCTGTTCTAAAAGCTTCGAGGAATGAAGTTAAAGCTCCCCCCGCCCCCCCGTAGATTGACGCGGAAGCTTCCCCGGATCACGATAATGTAGATGCTACAGTGTCGCGAATGAGTTACTGCAGCAGCTACAATAACCGCGAAACAACCTTTTTCCCGCCTTTTCTTTCCTTTTTCTCTCCTAATATTTCTTTCTTTTTCCATGAAATCCCTTATTATAAATCCTTGTCTATTATAGTACTTCATTTTATTCTATTTCTTAATTGAAAGCATTGTCCCTAATCTCTCTTATATAGAGGGGGCGTTTTTTGCTTAGGAGAGGAGGTTTTTGATTACTGTTGATTTAGTTACTGCCCTTGAGGTATTCTTCCACTATTGGAGTTGTACCCGACAGCTAGAAGGAGCTCCGATTGTAACTCGTCTGAGGTGGTGAGCGTCTCCAATGGTGATGCTCAGGCTGTAGCTCGACCTTGACGAGACATTTTATCTTTCCGCAACCCTCCAACTCTTTTCCTGTCGCTGGCCACCCTGTCCTACCGCTTGCCAGCTTGTTGCCCTCACAATTGAATTCCTTCTAGCCCTTCCCAAACCTGCCATAAGCCCTCCCAACCCATCCAAACCTGACCGCAACCCTCCCAGACCTCCCACCATCCTGTTGTAGCAGTTTCCAACCCTTCCCAACGCTACAGCAGACCGACCCGAGCAGCCCAGCAGCTATCGCAACCCCTCCATCAGATCTACCTTCTATCATAACCCTTAATGGAGTTTGTATTGTGTCTTTATGATTGTGTTGTAGTTTTGTTGTGGTTATTTTATGTTTTCAAGCGTCATGTTTGTAATCCTTTCAATTTTAGCAATTTTTTTTTTTTTGTGGTCCGGGTTTCCTCCAGTATCATAAACAATCTCGACGAAGAGGAACTCTAGGGTGATGGTGCAAAGCAAACAACTACAATGAAGGAGGAGAGGTGTCGGGCTACTATAGAGGCGTCGAACCACAACTGGAGGAAGTGGAGAAGCCATAAATGGCCGGAATCCGGAACAGCTGATCGCGGTCTGCAGGGAAGCTACAGAGAGGTGGTGTGGCGGCTGGAGGAGGAAGAGGGGCAATGGGCAGGATGGCCGAGAGGCAACTGAAAGAGCTAGGAAGAGGCAGGGCGGGTGCGGCCTGCAAGGAAGCTGCAGGGAGATCGGTGGGGGCTTGTAGGAAGGCAGGGGAGGAGATGTGGTGGCATGTTGTAGGATTGAGAAGCGGTAAACAGCAGCAGGGAGGGTGGATGGACAGAAAAATATCTAGGCAGGGTCGAGCTATAGCTGTAGCATCACCCGGACTCGTGGAAACGATCACCACCTCGGACGAGGGACGGCCGGAGTATTACCTCAACGTCGGATACTGCCGTCGAAGGTAAAATACCAAGGCTAAAACCTGAATTTAGATATCAAGAATAAGGAGAAAATCCCAACAAACTAATTTTAACAAAATCATGTTGCGATGAAGATCGCATAAGAATACAAAAATGTAAGACCAAACGGCATTTATGCCACAGCCACTAATAAAAAAAAATGGAAACATCATGCATAAGGCAGTCAATCTTGCTCCAAATCAAAATATTGCAAATATCGCAAAAGAATACAAAAAAATTGTAAGAAGGTAAATTTTATGTACAACAAACTGAAGTCCACTAACAAAAGCCTCCAAGAGGAGTCATAGAAGCCATTAAAAGAAATGAAATAATGGATCTCATAAAGAAGTCGTGGGATGAAAACATTGAGGAAACCGTTGGAGAAAATTACAAAAGAGGATGCAAAAACACAAGGGGAGCATCAAACAAAACTGCCCAAGAAGAGAAGTTACAATTCGAAAGAGGCAAAAGTCATGGAAGAGAAGAGTCGTTATGAATTAAGGAGTGTGTGTCATTAAACAGATAAATGATAAACCAAAAATGATAGCAAACAATTAGGATCCCTATGGATCAAACAATATAACCACTATAAAAAGTAAATAATAGCAAAAATAACCTCAAAAAAGTGGTAAGCATTGAATAACTATAATAGACCAACACATTGACATAGCATGCCAAAAAGACCAAAATAAAAACATCGCCACTTGATGTGCAGATTGGTTCTCGGTGAAGGAGAAGGTAAGAATAAAAAATATACACAGTATACCATATCAACTATGCCAAAAAGAATTTGGCAAGCTGGTATAATGATAAAGCAAGAAAATTATAAATGGATAACAAGCTCTATCTTAGTATAAAGATCCCGATACAATGAAAGAAATAATGATATAGAATTTCTTAAGGCCTAAAATTCTCAAAATATTTCTAAATGAGGTGGAAAAAATCATACAACAAGCATGTATATTCACAAAACCCAAGCTATTACGCCAAAACAGTTGTTAAATACCTTTACAAAAAATAAAAAGTGATTGAAATAAAGCTAGCAAAAGTTTTATGGTCTTCTACTACAAATTAAAAATTACAATAAAGAACAATGAAAGTCGTGGACATCATTGAAACCTTGACAAAATTTTATATTGTAATTAGTGATGGAATCAGGGGATGACTGCAGGGGTGCTCGTCACCACTAGATTTTTACTATAATTCTTTAATATCATATAACATACTAAAAATTTTGCCCTTCCAAACTTAAATACTTAATTATAATTTAATAGTCATGTTTATAATAGGTTTAAGAAAATTTAAAAATAGAAAAATTTTAACATAAATACTTCGCCTCTTGACTTTTTTAGTCTGTCACCACCCCTTCCTTAGATTTTGGCTCCGCTGCTAACTTTGTGATGAATCAAACCAAACATGATCTCTTTTTTAACTATACGCTGAAAAAGATAGTTGAATAGAACAATAATAATGAGAACAATACAAAAGGAAAAACAAAAGAAAACACCATAAAAGTAAGTCACAACTTTGTGCTAAAAAAGATAGTTCAAATATAACAATAATAATGAGAACAATAAAAATGAAAAAACAAAAGAAAATATCATAAAAGTAAGTCACAATTTTGTACAAAAGAGAACGTCATAAGATTCTTTAAGTTTCTTACTTGACCAAAGGATATGAATCCAATAAATAGTAAAAATAAAGATCAAGTTATCCAACGGAAATATATATTCAAGCATTTAATGAGTTCTACGCATACATCAAATTACAAAAGTAATGAGAAACATCCTCAATGACTTCAACAGTAATCAAATTCCCGAACTACATAAAAGTTCACCATCCGTTTACAATGCCCCAACAACCGAAGATTGATACAATTTCATAAGCAGAGTAAATACATTATAAAAAGAGCCAAAAACTAGCAACATTAAAAAATGGAAAAATCCAAGCAAAACAATAGGAAATTTGGATTAGCACAATAAGGAGATGCACATCAAAAGATAAAGATATGCGCATAAACACAATAAAGAGCCACAAACATTATTGCAATCTTGATAATAAGTTAACATCATATACATGTATGTGATGCACTATTTAAACTGAAAATTGAAAATGAAAACAAATTTAAATTTAAATTTATAGAAGGAAAATTCACATACATAGCACACAATTCTAATGTATTTACATATATCTCACCCGAAATTTCATATTTATATACATAGCACTTTGGTGCTTTATACCAATGAATGAAAAGGTGTATTTCATTTTTCAAAAGTGGTAGAAGCACAAATCTTTATATGATATTAAAGATTTCATTGTTGGGTATCTAACTATGGAAGTTTAGGTGTGAGATATGTAAATAGAAAAGAATTGTGTGCTGCGAAAGTAAATTCCCTTTTATAAACATACATTGGTCAAATTGATCATTATAACACAAGCATAGTTTGTTTTTCACAACACTAAACATTGAAATTTGCATAAATGACTTAGTTATAACAAAAATAATGTTCAAACTTTAGCACCTGAGTTTCAAACGCACGAGAGAAATTCTGTCCAAGGTTATGGCTAGTTCCTGCTTGCAAAGCTTTTCTGTCACCCATCATGGCTTCGATTGTATAGGTACAGGAAGCACCAGCAAATGTCTCTGCCTTCGATTTTCTACCTGCAATAACAGGTATTGCAGCTTGCTCATAAGCAAATTTTTTATACACATCAATCATCAGCAATGCCTGCGGCACAGCAAGATAGAGGACTATATCAAATATACAGAAAACTCAATGTCATGTTGAGCAGGGAAGCGGATGCCCACCTCTTTTTCAGCCTCTTCAGCAGTGGCATGGGCAGTATGCCCTTCCTGCCACAAAAACTCAAGAGTCCTTATAAATGGTTTTGTCCTCATTTCCCATCTTGTCACATTAGCCCACTAAGAGATGCAGTATATACACAAGAATAATGGCAAATTTCAAATAATTGTGCAGCAAAAGGCAGCAACTTTCAAATTTAACAAAAGAGGACAAAAATAATACTGGAACCTGCCTGGTTAATCATCATAGGAAGATCACGATAGCTCTGAATCCACTGAGTAAACATGTGATTCACAATTGTTTCACTAGTCGGCCTTACCTGCCATAGTAAAGTATATGAAGTTAGAGTAGTGAACATGTCGATAAAGATAACAGTTTCAAAGTAGAAACTAATATTGATCTTCAAAAAGAGAGATGGTTAACATGATTTCTTAAATAGAATACCACAAGTTTTTCTTCAAGCTCCTTTCCTCCTCCAATGGTCACTACTGCTAGTTCTGGGCTAAAACCTTCAACATGACTGGCCTCCTTTTCTATAAATGAGTACGGTATGAACTGAAGCAAAAGATTAATTAAATAAAACATAAAATCAGAAGGGAAAAAATCAGCGCACTGCCTAAGGAAACTTGCCACATATATTGGGAAAAGCAATCCTCACTATAATTTTTATGTCACAATAACAACTAAAAAAGTAAACAATATATATTTTCTTCGTGTTACTGTGGGAAGCAAACAGCACAATCAGCACACATTCTCATAAAACAAAACTGAACACAATATGTGCGCGGGCAATCGAAAAATCACGCACCTGAGGGAAGTACATGTTACTGTGACCGGTCTCCTTAAACTTAGCATTCAAATAATCCTACAACAGACCAGAAACCCCAACCCAAATCAGAATAAACTTGAACGCAAACTGACAGAATGAAAAAAAACTTCATAACAACAAAACCTGTATCGCTTCCCATATAGCGTATCCATACGGCCGGATTACCATGGTGCCGCGTACAGGACCGTAATCGGCGAGCTCTGCCCTGGCGATGACATCAAGGTACCAGGCATTGAAGTCCACCGAGCGCGGGGTTAATGTCCCCTCATGGGCCGACAAGGGTTTTCGATCCAACGCCCTTAGAGAAGAGGGCAAAGGCGGCTCCTCCGCCTCCGGCGCTTCCTCCTTGGTTATGAGGGAAGCGCGGAGCTTGGAGGAAACGGGAACCCTATATGGATAGTAGGAGGAGCGAAGGTTGGGATGGGGGTAGAAGAAGAGGTGGAGCGAGGGAAGGCAGAGAGCCATCATGGCAATGGTAAGGATTACAGGTGAGTTGTGATTGCCGTTTGAAGGAAGTAGGGATGTTTATCCTGGATTTCCGAATACTGATTAAAACTTAATTTTAAAATATTTCGTATTAAACTCTTGGATTAAAATGGTATTATGTAAATACTCGGTAGGGTCTGTTTAGGGCAGCTGTAGTTTATTGAATAATTTGCTGATAAGTTGATTAAAAATAATTTGCTAATAAGTTAGGTGCGGTGGCTATTAGAAATTTTTATTTTTTTTTAAAATCAGACTGCTCCCAGAAAGCTGTCACCGCATCCAGATAGATGTAGTATGAAAATGTCGCTTTTAGCATTTTCAAACGTTTTTAAAACGTTACCGCACTAAATAAACTATCTCAAACGAAGCCTTAATTTTTTGAAAATATTCAACTATACTTTTTTAATAAATAATCTATATTCTCTTAAAGGCACATTCAGCTTTTATTTAATTTTTTTCTTATTATTATACTTATAATGACTATATTATTTAATTTTATTATAAATATTAAGAATACTTTCATCTTGCATTCGTGTGTGTTTGTGTTTTTTTTTATAATTTTAATTGAAATGTTCACTTTTCATACATTTTAAGAATCCATCCACCATCCTATTTAATCATATCCATAATTTAAATAATTTAATTATAAAGAAAATGTTCAGACATGATTTGGGAGAAACAATCCATTCTCTCAGACAAAGTGGAGAGGATGGAGGAGGAAATAGCTGCCCTTTGCATGAAACTATTGGAAGTCAGAGAGAAGTTCCTCATGCAACAGGCTCAAGCCGATAATGATTGGTGGACCAGTTTAAGTTTAAGGGAGAAGTTTTGTACAAGAGAGTGCTTCGGCCATAGTATATGTCCTCTTAAATGGAATATGATCCCCTTATTTAACATTTCATCTCGAACTAATTTTCGAGTGTTCTTTGTAATGTCCAATTTTTGAATAAAATTTGTTTCCCCTTTCTTAAATCATGTGTTAATGTGAATTTATGTGAATGCGTTCTTGAAATTACTATATGATTTTGTTTTTACCCGTGTATGACGGTTCAACTTATTCTGATAACTTATATATAGAGTTAGGAGTTGGGTGGACACTACATGTTTTATGCCTTTTTCTCTCTATGTTTATATGCTCACTGACCTTTTTGTTGTTTTGTTCTTTGCACTTTATTATGTTGCCTCCAAAATATTCTCTGCAAGCCAACTGATCGGTTGATGATGACACAGGGGGGAGGTAGCTTGGCTACAAAATATCTATGTCTTTGATTCCACTATATAGCTTTGAGCTGCAAAGAAGAACAATTGAGCAACGACCCTCATTTTGGGCTCATATTTTTTCTCTCTTTTTTTTTTCTTTTTTTTTTTATAGAGATCAATTCTGATTAGACTTGAGACTACTTTTCAGCCAAGAACTACAGGCTATTTTTAACTATTACGGCCCAACCAAGAATATGCATAACTACATCACCTCCATCATGACCTACGCCATCTTCTACCGCCAGGCAGGAACCTTGTGATCGACGAAGCACTTCATGTAAATGTTCACGTTTTGGGCTGATCTAGAGGGTTGTGTACAACTTAGCTTGCTTGGCAAGTTCCAACTAATAGTGTTGGTGAATATAGTAAAGGATTGAAAGTTTTATTTTTGCCTTGACTCTTCTTCCCAATGTTGGAACATCCAAAGTTTCTCACCATAAGATGCAGACGGTAAATCAAAGAAGAAGAAGGCACCAGATTGAAGCAACAGGGGTTGAAGGATAATAAATTTCAATTTATCAGTATCTTGATCTATTAGCTATCATCTGGTGTTGCAGTCAGAGAAGTACGAGCAAATGTCAAAGGAGGATTGAGCAGCCTTAAACGCCCAAGAGGCTGAGCAGGAGGTTGTGGTTGCTGCCTGAACAGCTAAGAATAAAGCTCAACCAGTTGCTCGTGTGAAGCATGTCCACTTTAAAGTTGTTTGAGGTTGCTAGCCAAGATATGCCTGTGGTGGTCTGTGATGCAGGAAGTTTTAAACTTTCGAACATGGTTAACTTTGTATCTGAGTCTTCTATTGTTATTCAAATGATCTCCACCATTAAGTTAATTCTTATCGAGAGGAAAAATTCTTTAATCCCAATTAAAAGCTCTTTATTATTTGCAGGTTCTTTGGGTGCGCAACACTAAAAAATCAAGCAGACACTGAGCTGGTTAGAATCAAGTGGCGTCGAGGGGTAGACCTCAAAAGAAAGCTCTAAAGTAGGATCAGTTGCCCTTGGTCGGTCGCTCCAATGTTTATCGAGTTGTCCATGAGGGGTGTGGCCAGTCGGCCTTCTCCCATTTCTCAGAGTGAACCCGAGTCTAAGTCCGAGCCAGCCAACCAAAAAGAGGAGGTAAGCCCCTACAACGGGAAAGATCCCGCCACTGATTCGAGTTTCTTACTTCCTTCCCCTCCCAAAAGAAGCAAAAGGCCCTCCACTTACATGTATCTCGACGTAGGTTGAGAAACCAATTTGCTTTGAACAATCTGAGGAAGGACTGCTACTCAGATTCCCATGTCCCGACTCTATATTTGTATACAATTGCAGACATGATTTTGCCTTGAGCTTTCAAGAAAATCCTTTACGAGAAAAGTCTCTAATGTATGGGTTAGGTGATCTAACATCAACAAATTATGACTTGAGAGTTTTATTACTTTCGATTGATAGTCCTGGTAAAGGCTAAGGAAAAGTTGAACGAGACAAAGGACGGGGTGAAGACGATGGAGAAGCAGGCAAAGCTGGCTATAGCCAATTGTTTAGAATGTCGGAGTTGTTGTTGACCGCTTAGGGAGAGAACTAGGCCCCGAGAGAAAGTTGGTGATGATGATGACATTAGATGAGTTATTTGTTGTGTTATCAGTCGTATGATAAAGGCGAAGCGAGTCTCCCTTGAGTGGTCCAATTTGGATAGATTTGTTACATTATTCTCGGACTCAGAGAGGAGAACGAGGAATAAGAGAAAAGTGATTAAGATGATGGAGGGTCTTCCAATGCTTGACTCTTCTTCGGCTTCATCTGTACTTAGAGAAATTTTTTTCGTTTCCTTTTTGAATACTTTCTAAAGAGAATTGTATGAAAATCTTCGTGAGTTCTTAAACATGAAATAAAGCAAAGCTTTATGTCAGTTTTCACCTTCGATTCTTATGTTTTATCTCAACCACATTTTTTTTTCTTTGTGATAAATGCTTATGATGATTGTTGGATTGGGGTTTTTAAGAATGCCTTTAATTGATTTTGCTGAGTAACCGTCTGAGTAAAATCTTACACTTCACATATATCGGTCGTCTCACTCGGTTTGGTTGCCACCTTAGACGACCCGCATATGATGTTGTGTGTGTTAAGTAGATATTGTCGTAGCCTTCGCAGGGATAATCGTCATGAGTTGTTGTTAAGGTGATTCGTTTGCTACTTACCACATATCTTGTCTCTAATGATCAGGGAAGCATCGCTATAGCTTGAACCATTTCGAGTTAGGAAACTTATAATTGGGCATTGTTGGTCGGATCTTGTGCATTTTGCAGATCTAATGTTAATTATCACTATCTATCAAATTTTAGATTTTTATAGATCAAACATTTTTTTATCATTGTTGGTTTTGAAAAATATGCACCGATTGGACGTCTTGCATTGTTTTCGGTTCCACCGCTCGGGTCAAACCATTGTAGGCAGGATGGTTCGAGTTCTTTAAGTGCAGGCCGGACTTTGACAATTCCTTGCACAATTTTTTTAAGTTTCGTGAGTGTTAATCGAGCCTAGTAATGCGTGTGCACTTAGAAAACTTTTACTTAATTATTTTTTTGAACTTGAAAATAAAATACAAGAGTTGGAACGATAATGTATTCTCATTGTTGATTTTAAGGCTTCTAAAGATATTGGGTAAAACACCCTCAGTGGTACGCTCTTTTGGTTTATCCATAATCTTAGTGCCTCTGTGAGCTTTCGATGTGAGTTCAAGTCGAATGATGAGGATTGTGTCTAGAAACCTGGCTTTCTCTGCTGTCAGTTGTCTTTGTTGGATGGCGATTAACTAACTTAGTTTTGAATGATGTGGGGTAAGAGTTATACTTTTATTTCAATATGTGTATGTTGGCTAGTTCCAACTGCTCGGCTAGCATCTTCAGTGTCTGCAGGGCTAGCATGTATTGGAATTGTGCTTCTTTCACCTCTTAAGAAAAAACAGCATGAGCTACTGCAGGCTCCAAATCACGTACTTCTAACACCTCCTTCTGAAAAGTGTGTGATGAACGAGCAAAAGCACTCATTCTATCCTTATCGGTTATGCAAGAGGGCCATAAATTCTTATGCGGCTTCTAATGCTGGTAAGATATGCCACAAACATTCACTTGAATTCAGCGGACTACGTGATCACTCCCAATGGCAACATGTTAAACCACTTGAGAGTTGAATCCCTCAATGAGGTAAAGAAGAGATGACATTTTAGCAAGTCAATGATCCTCAACATACCTAATTAACTTGAATTAGGCAATGTGGCTAGTCGGATTGGTCATGCCGTTATGGATATCCAATGTCGGGATCATGAAACTCTTTAGGGGTTGGACTTTAGAGATTTGCCTAAATAATACATTCTCAAGTTGTCAGAACACTTCAATATGCTTGTATCGATGTCTGTTGATTGGTGTTGACCCAACACTACCAAAGTAATGGGAGTGAGCTTCTCTTTCTAAGGTTAAGGGGGCTTTACGATTATTAAACATCGACCCTTCCTCTAGTGGATGTCGCTCTCTTCCCTAAGTGAGTGCTTCTTGGATTACATGCAATATTTGATCATTTAGCTCTAAGATTTGTTCTTTCACAAACTCTCTTGTGCACTCCATATTACTAGCGTCTCTGTTATGAGTTTTTCTTTGTGCGTTGCTTCTCTTCTTTTCTGTAGCATGATCCACGCTCACCGTATCTTTTAGAATATTGAATCTTGATTTGTTGGTGAATCACACCAAGGAATAGAGCGTATTAAAGGAGAGAGAGAGAGAGGAGTGAACATTAATGAACAACAATAAAATATGTCTCTATTTCTTTTATCATAAAATGATCTCTTTATTTATAGTGGAGATGATACAATATTGTGACACTAAATTTATGTTTTTGCTTTAATGACCGTTGCATAAGATATTCTATGTATTTTACATATATAAGCATATCGCTCACCTTTTCTTTGGCTTGTTCGACTGAGCTTGTTTGGCATTGGCTTGGTAAGTTCAGTAAGGTCGGTCGATGTTGCCGATTTTGTGAGCGTGATTAGCTTCGGGTCAGTAGGACTTATTCGGTCGGCTGGTCTTTGTCAATCAGTTAATCTGGACTAGTCGTTGTTCTTGATCCCTGATGATGAGCTTCTTTTAGTGGAGTGAGACTACACTATCAGTCCGATGATAATTTATCATGACTCCAAAGGTAACTCTCTCATCAGCAAGAAAAAGCTAAAGGGATATCTTCAAAACTCCTTATCCCAAAGATGAGCCTTAGGGACAGAATTGACTAAGGGTCCATTTGGGACAGTTTATTAGTGCGGACAACGTTTTCAAAACACCGTCTCACATTTTGGAAAACACGTTTCGGCAGCTTATCCGAAAATACAGTTGAGTTTTTACACTAAGCGCAAGTCGCGGGTCAAACCCCATGAGCTAACTGAGAGTCGCATTTTAGAATAAGCTGCTTATCTGAATAAATACAAGTTGTTCCAAACTCACTCTAAATTTTATTTTAACTTAAATTCAAATTGCAACCAAACAAATGTTTACAGTTTCAGTCGTTTCAGTACTGGCAAATTTGGACACTTTTCCTCTCATTATCAGGACAAAAAATATTCTGCCCTTGTTAGTTTCTCACTGTTAGTATTCCAAACTCCACCCTTGCATCGGAGTTCTTATTCTGTGCGGACACCGCACGCAACT